AATTCAACAGATGCGTTGATTACGTCCCTGCCCTTGTACACACCGCCCGTCGCTACTACCGATGAATGGTTTAGTGAGGCCTCGGGATTGGCGCGTGGGCGCTGGCAACAGCTGCCCATGTGTTTCTTTGCTGAGAACCTGGTCAAACTTGATCATTTAGAGGAAGTAAAAGTCGTAACAAGGTTTCCGTAGGTGAACCTGCGGAAGGATCATTCCAACAAGGAAAACGTTGAAAAGCGTGGTTGGTGAGGGATGGTGAAGATTGGTGAGGGATGGCGAGGGAAGGTGGAGACACTGGACTGAGCCAACCGAGCCAACTTGAGCCAACCGAGCCAACCAACTGACAAAATCGCTCTCACACGCTTCTATGTGTGGGAGTGAGCATTGTGTGAATGAAGACAAAAACAAAGCAAAAGCATGTGCATGCGTGCATGAGCATTGTGAGTGTCGCAGTGGAGCACGCATATTGTGTGTGTTGCATTGCGATGGCAGTGCTCTTGTGTGTGTGTGATGTTACATTGTTTGCCTCGTGCAAAGAAGAAGAAGAAATGAACACAGCAAGCAAGCGTATGTTTTGGATTGTTGTTGTGGCAGCGGCTGCGATTGCACACACATGACAGTGTGGGCGAAAGCATCTTGCTGCAGCAACAGCAACCAAAAGATGTGTGCTGTGCTGTGGACATACGTACATACATTATAACCACAAACGAGTGAGTGAGAGAATGAGGGGGAGAGAGAGCGTTGTGATGTGATTTGTGTGTGAGTGTGTGTGCCAACAAACACTGTGCGTTGGAATACTCACACACAAACACATGCACTGCAACCACTCTCACTTCAATCTCAACATCTCATTCAACACAACCAAATTAATAACCATGAGACAACTTTCAACGGTGGATCTCTTGGCTCGTGCATCGATGAAGAACGTGGCAAGACGCGAAATGTAGTGTGAATTGCAGAATTCCGTGAATCATTGAATCTTCGAACGCACATTGCGCCTGTGTGTGTGGGCATGCGCCATTGTGTGCGTGTCTGTGCGTGCGGGCATGTCTGCCTGAGTGTCGCCACTCAATCTCATTGACAATGCGCTTTTGTGTGCTTATGAGGGTGTGAGTGTATGTGTGTGGGTGTATTTGATTACTGAACTATGCAGCAGCAGCAGCGCACCTTTGTTGGTGTGGTGTTTGTTTGTTGCGTAGCAGTATGAAGAAATGCCCATGCATGCATGCACTCGTATCTCATTTGCACACTGTGCATTGTTAGTGGCCATGGGGTGTTAGTCGATGCGTGCACACACACATTTTTGCTGTGTGTTTGTATTGTGTGAGACTGGACCCTGAAGAGGAGAGCTTACGACTCCATTGCGATGATAATTGTGATGGTGACTGTGATGAAGAAGGAGTGGGTGTTTGTGTGTGTGAGCATGTGGATTGCATTGCACGATGATACGATGCCTTGTGCGTTGTGTTGTCGTTGTTGATGTGATTCACACACATACACGCATCCCACTTCTCTATTCTCATACTGTTGTCATCACTCACTGTCGCCGTGTGGGTGCCGTTGTTGCGAGACCACGGCAAGCACACGCATGCTGTTTCTGCATATGCAGCAGGATACAACAAGCTGTGGAGCGATGTGTCAACTGACATCGTTGTTCTGCAGCGTGTGTATGCTGTGTGTGTGTGCAGAGGCATGTGCACTTGTGTGCTTGCATCTTTATGTGGCTTTTGTGACACTGGTCATGTGAGCAAAACACTGTGATGAAGAAGAGAGGGAAGTATGGGCGAGAGAAGCTGGAATAGTGATGGACGGAGCACTGTTTGTTTGTGTGCACTGCACTGCACTTGTTGCAGTGTATGCGCACAAACGACTGTATCCATCCATTGCTCCACTCCACTTCATTTCTCTCTCAAACCCCTTCCCCCTCTACTCATTTCTCATTGTTGACCTCAGGTCAGGCAAGGGTACCCCCTGAACTTAAGCATATCACTAAGGGGAGGAAGAGAAACTAACAAGGATTCCTCAGTAACGGCGAGTGAAGCGGGAAGAGCTCAAGCATTGGAATCTCCACAAGCTTCTTTTTATTGTGGCGAGTTGTAGTCTTTATGGGATGCGGGCCGTCGCATGTCTTTGTGATGGTGCATGTTGTTCGCAATGTGCATTGTTGTTTGGCGCAGCACCGAGTTTCCTTGGAAGAGGACACCGGAGTAGGGTGAGAGTCCCGTTGGTGCTACATTATTTGCGCTGATGTGCGGTGTGTGGTCCGTTTATTCTCTTGAGTCGGGTTGTTTGGGAATGCAGCCCAAAGCCGGGTGGTAAACTGCATCCAAGGCTAAATACTGGCACGAGACCGATAGCGAACAAGTACCGTGAGGGAAAGATGAAAAGCACTTTGAAAAGAGAGTTAAACAGTACGTGAAACCGTTGACAGAGAATCGCTTGCAGCTAGCAGAGACTGGGCGCGCCTTGTGATCAGGGCTTTTGGTGTGGTGTGTGATGATGTTGCGGGGGGTGTTTTGTGTGCACTTGTTGCACATATGCGCCGCTGCGTTGCTGTTGTTGTGTGCTGCGCTGCCTGCACTCGCGGGGCGTGTCTGCCAGCATGAGTTTTGTGTGTGAGAGACGGCGATGCGAGGGCGCCCTTGTGCGTGGCGCATCTGCTTTTTATGTTTCTGTCGCACGCGGGACTGAGGAAATTATCGATGCGGTGGCTTTGTTATGTGGTCTTTGGCATGGGTGCTGTTTTCGGCATTGTGTTGCGCAGACTCTTGTTTTGGGATGGGAGACTCGTTCTCTTGTGCTGTTGACAGAGTGTGTGCGGGCAGTGTTGGGAATGTTGCGCTTGCCGCTTGGCGCACACCACCGGGGAGATGCTGGCGACAGGGCTGCAAACGGCCCGTCTTGAAACACGGACCAAGGAGTCTAACATGTGCGCGAGTGTTTTAGCGAGCATGAAGCTAGGGCGCGCAATGAAAGTGAGAGGTGGGATGCAGTGTTATTGTTGTGCGTCTCGGCGTGCAATCAGCAGCACTCGCAGCACCATCGACCGATC